TTCTAGGCCCACTCACCTACATAACTTGATGTGCAAGGATTGCACAACATTGTGCATTTCTTCTATATGGGTTCATAATTAGGAGCTTATTGTATTTAATGAATTTTTCTAGATTTGACATTGCTTATGTAATAAGTAGACTGAGTAAGTACATCCAATGTTTTAATCAAGAATATTAGGATGTACTTGCAAGATTTATGAGATACTTAAAATGTTCAATTGATTACGCTATTGAATATAATGGATTTCTTATTATGCTACGATGTTAACTAGATCTCTGAAGATAAGACAAAATCCACTAGTGATTATATACATATTCACACTCGGGGGTGGTGTGATTACATGAAGATCAGTCAAACAAACAATTATTGTAAGATCAACAATAGAATATGAATTTGTTACTTTCGAAATGACTAGTAGTGAAGTTGAGTAGTTGAAAAACATTTTAGCAAACATTCCATTAGAAATGAAACCAACCACATCTTTGTCAATACATTGTGATTGTTAATCGACAATAGCTATAGTTTAAAACAAGAACTATAATGGAACAGACATATACAATAAAGACATAATTTAGTGAAGCCGCTGCTAAAGAGTGGAACAATTTCATTGACAATATAAAGTCATAACGGAATCTAGAAGATCCTCTAACGAAATCCCTAGGGAGAAACATGATTTCAAAAACATCTAAAGGAATGGGATTCAAGCCACCTACAAACAAACAAGTGATGATAACCCAACTTTTGTGATTGGAGATCCCATGAATAAGGTTCATATAGGTAAAACAAGTCAATTGTTAGTTCTACTAGTACTAAAATTAATTAAAATCAATTATTTCAATTTTTATGGTGTTTGTGAAAGTGTTATATACTGCATCATAAAAAGGTTAAGTTTTGTAATTAAAATTCTAAGTGGTGTACGAATTTTAATCTAAACAAAATTTTTAATGATTTTATATATCTCTTACGGATGATGTATGATTTGCAGCATATGGTTGATGAAATTACCTATATGAGTGTCGAGTGAGGCTGCTTATATGAGATCTTTGCAATATTTCTAGAGCACTCATGAATATTGGACACGCGCATGGCCTAGTGAGTACAACATAGCGATAACAACAAAAATTGTGGAGGTGTATTGTGATTGTTAAACCGCTAACATACACTAAGTGTCTTGGTTCATATAACTTGTTATACCAACTACATTATGTATTAAGTTTTCAATTTAGGACTTGTTCAAATAGTTTGTTATATCAATTCTGATGTGTTATATCTTATATATAAGATGCATGATTTTCATCTTTTATCTTCTTTTTATTTTGCAATATGTGGGGATTGATAAAGAAGAAGAAAAATATTACAAAAATCTAAAAGTAAGACCCACGATCCTCAATCTGCAGCATCCACGATTTACCCTCCTGAAATAGCTTCAGTTACTACAACAATATCCTCCTCCACGTTTCCGGTCAACTCACCTACAGAACTTGCAGTTGTTGGATTTGAGGCAGCGCAAGGATTGCACAACGTTGTAGATTTCTTCCATATGGGTTATTATGCGGAAATGGGTCTCTTACCGTACTATATCTATAAATAGATCATTTCATACTCTTTTAAAAGACACACCTCTCATTTATCTTCTCTTCCTTCTCATTTCTCTTGTCTTGGATTTATATATTTTTAAAAAAAAAAAATTTCTAGTTTCTGAGTTCTTCAGAAAATCCGAAAATAATATATCTATAAGAACAGTGTTTTTACATGCGTCAAGAATTAAATTTTGTTTTGTGAGCTTTTCCAACACTATTGAGATCAGGACAAGATCGAGTTCAATATTTAGACATTTCGCAATCTTTCAATCTTGAATTAAAGATACCAACACTATAAATCGAAAGTAAATCAAGATCAGTCATTTGACGCTTCAATACTTACTATCTGCTTAACTGATGCAGAAAAGGTCTTTCTAATACAATAAATCATTCAAATCTTTTCGCATTCATCTTCTCTGTTGTTGCGCATTTATTTCGTTTTCTTTGTGTGCCTCAATTAGGTTCAAGTTCTCTTGGCACTTCTAATCCTCATTTTAATTTTATTTTTTTCTATTCTTTTAACTTCAATACATTTCCTTTTTTTTTTTTTTACTACCCAGGTTATTCGCACTCACAGGACAATCAACCACATTCCATAGTATTATTGTAGCGGTAGAATCACTTCATCTTGTATATATTTACATGGTGGAGCTCGAGAACATAGGAATGAATTTGAAAAAATTCAAGTAAAAACATTTTATGTGTGAATTAAATCCATTAGAGATATTTCATTAAAAAGAATTCTACTTGAGATTAAGAAATTTGTTTTTATAATAATATTTAAATATAGGTATATATTTAGATATAAATATAGGTATATATATTTAGATATAAATACCTGGAGTTCTTTGCATCCCAACCCGCAATATTTGAGGATTCGTAGAGAGCCCTTATCCAACTACGTACCGAATTCATCGTCCGTTCTGGAAAATATTCTTCACTGGGGACTGGCATGCCAAACCAACCGTTTCCAACTTTTTGTGTTGTTGAGTCAAAGCCTGTTCCAAAGGCACCTTTCTGATGACGAACATCCGATGGATCAACGTCGTAAAATACGGGCAGAACCACCTGACCGTACGTTCTACTACATTCCATGATTTTTACAAGCTCGTCAAGGCACCAAGCAGATGAAGCATAGTTCGCGGAGAAAACAACTATGGAAATCCGAGACCCTTTTATTGCTCTGTCTATTACTGCTCCTATCTCCGTTCCGCTTGGAATACTGTCATCAATGAAAGTGTGGATTCCTGCATTAGAGAGGGCAGCGTAGAGATGAGACACCAAATTCCTCCGCGTGTCTTCGCCTCTAAAGCTCAAGAACACGTCGTAGGCCCAGTAGACATGATACGATGAAGAAGACATTGAGTCCAGCAGAGGAGTTGTAGACAATTCTTTGCTTATGACCTAGATGCTCTCTGCAAGTTGCAACCATCCCTGTGCTTTCTATCATATTTTAAGTTGTAATACGATAATAAATTAGAATTAATCTCACTGAAAATAAAAAGTAACGCACTGTGCAATTCTTTTTCTTTCTTCCATTTAAGCTTTGGGAGGTACCACCAACTTTCCTAAGGAAAAGACACGCTTTCTTTGACCACAAATATTATTTTAAGTGGGTGGGTGCGTACTTCCTTTCATAATTTTTTTATTGGCAAATGCTAACTAACCCGTCTTTTTAACATGTTTTTACACTACATATAAAAAAAAAAAAATATTGTGACAAGTGAATTCGTCTCATGACAGTAAGAAATTTATCACAAAATGTTGTGACGGAATCTGTCAGGAATACGAAAATTGTCATAAAATTGGGCGTTGCAATATTTTTTAAATGAATTTTTCATTACCTCCACTGAAACAATATGGTCACAAACTAATTTAAATTTGTTACCAGATCTTTAATTGTCTTTAAACCCTGTTCCATCATAAATTATGACATTTTTATTTGTCACAAAATGTCAATCACTTAAGCTCAAAAATAGACGTTTGAAGCGAGCCTATTTAAGTGAGTTTTATAATGAGCAATGCAATGTCCGCTTAAGCATTAACTTTGAGCAAGTTGCACATGTGTAGCATTGTTTTATAGTTGAAGTGTGTCCCTGGTTCTTCAAGCGAAGGTGATTTAAGCATAGTCACTTAATTGTAACATAACTCATTTAAGGAGTTTTACTTAATCATAATTTTGAAAATCAAATTAGCGGTTTATTACTTTTTGGTAAAACTAAATTTGATTAAAAAAAATTAAAATCAATTTTTTTAATATAATTTTTTATAAAAAATATAATATATTTTAGTTTTTTATTTCATATTAATTACTTCAATCTTAAATAATAATTATTTTATTATATTTTTATTTATTTTAACAATTATTCATTTTATATTCACTAATATATTTTATATTTATAACATATTCTAATGACTACACATGTTCTTTATTGTTCTTTCATAGTTTTGGTTTTTTATTTTTTTTTTATTTCAACGTTAAATAGTATACTTAATAAATGGTAAGATTCCTTAACCAATATACCTTTTATTACATTAAAAAGGAGAGAATTAATAACCATGGTTTATAATAGAACTAGTACTTATAGTATCATATTACTCTAAACCTTAAAAATTACTGTGAATTAACTTGTATTATCTAAACATGTTATTAAAAAGTCCACCATCTCTGTAAGTGATTCTATGGCGAAAGTGCAACTTTAGAAACCTCAGACTTAGTCTTCTGAAAACTTAAAAGCAATAAGTTTAGTTGTATCAATCTAACCAAGAATGAGATTTGATGCAGGTCATATTTACATGAACCAGATTACTGCACACATTCTAGTCAATAAAGTTAAAGATATAAGCACCTTGGATGCTGGCGTACCCTCTATCAGAAGGAAAACAAACTAAACAACAATGACTTTCTTAATAAATTGGCTGTAGTATTCTTCACTAACAGATGTCAAACTATATTATATATTACTGCCAATAGCCCTACCAAATTAGAGATTTCCACAAATAATCATTCTGCTATTGCTTGCAGTTCTGTCAGTAAGTTTTGTCTACAGAGTACAAACAAATGGTCTGACAAAATATCAATGGAAAATGTACACACAATGACCCTTCAACATGAACAAAAGCTTAGTTATTTATCTACTTACTAATTAATTTTGTTGAGAAGATTTTACATTTGCCATTACAATTATAAATTCCAGCCAAATCTCTCACTTAAAATACTTATTTACACATAGTCGACTTTGATGCCATAGATAGATGAGCAGTGACAAGTGACAGAGTCGCCTAGCAAGGGACACTTGGTTACACACTACCTGAATTTTAGTTCTTTGCAGGTTGAAAACAAAAATACTCAGCATCTTCACATTACTCTGACTGTTTTCAACAATGTTATAATTCCTCTCTGCGTGGAAGTACAGAGCTATATACAAGGCTTCTTTTTGCTGTGAGGAAGTGAAAAGAAAGAGAAAACAAAAGTCCTAATGCCACGACTAATTTTCCGTACAAATCTTACAAAGGCATTGTTCTCTGCCTCTTTCTTTCGCTTACGAGAAGGGACCATTTCCTTCTCAATTGATTCATCACATATGAGATACAGAGCTGTTTTCTTGGCCACCAATCCATCTCCAAAAGTCACAAAAATCTCCACGGTGTCTCCAGATCCTAAGTGTGACATTAAACCCTCCCAATCTTCATCTTTAAAGGATATTAATGTCTCATGCTTGTATATATGGATTGTGGACTTTGTGTTATTAACCAATAAGACACTAACAAGGCTTTCAGTCATCGTGTTTTCAGGGTTTGAACAATACACAACACACAAAGCCATTCCCTTTATGCGACAATCCTCGGGCATAATGAAAGACACTGAATGTCCCTCACCGGTCTTGGCCAACCAAGAAGGATAATTGTCACTTGGGAGTAAAACATCACAAGACTCACTGGCTGTCAATCCCTGATGCATGAGAGAAATAGCTTAGTCATTTATGCAATTGTGCCATTCAAATGGACTTTTTTACAATCATTATTTTTTCAATTCCAAATTAACAAATTGGGATATTTAAGAGAAAAACAACGTATTGGAGATATTAGAACATAGTTCTGCTAATAAATTCAAACAAATTTGGTCCATAGTTTTCTTGTGTATAAATCAACAGCTGATCATGAGGATGTATTTTGATAGAGTCAGTCAGCTAGTAAGGCCAAGATCTCTAATTAAACACGTGTATTCTAGATGGGCTCCAGGCTGTAAGTAGAGGCAAAATAACTAAATGATGATTGTAGTTAGTTAGGGGAAAGATTTAAATAAGAGGTTATGCTCCTTTGTAGAGGGAGAGGTTTTGTTTCGGGGGAAAAATTAGTTGGAACGGATTGTTGGAATCCGTTCACGGAAAATTCTTTCTCTCTCTACCTTCAGTTCTGATTGTAATCTCTTTGTCATCAATAATACAACTTCTCCATCAAGTAACACATTGATTCTTGATAATAATACTCAGTTCCTATACTTCTGGTAAATTTTATTTCCAGTTTTAACATTGGTATTAGAGTACCGATCTTGGTGCTCTGGAAAGCTAATTGGAGTTGCGCATGAGTACGAGGAGCATGGCGAGAAATTCTAATGAATGGGAGCAAGAACACAACGAGATGATGATGCGATTAGAATTAATAGAGGCAATAAAAACGAAGAATGAGGAATTATTGATGGTCATTGCAGTGAAATTGGGAATAGGCCAAGAAGACACCTCTAGTGGACATGAACATGAGACAGTTAGAGGAAGCTTTGGAGCAGAGCATCACGATTTTGGAAAATGGAGGAAACTAAAAATTCCAATTTTCTCAGGAGAAGATGCATATGGGTGGACTCATAGATTAGAGAGGTATTTTGTTGTGAAAGGCGTGAGTGATGAGGACAAGATGCAGGCTATTATGGTGGCTTTGGAGGGAAGGGCATTGAGATGGTTTCAGTGGTGGGAACGATGCAACCCAATCCCTAATTGGGAGGGGTTTAAGTATGTTGTAATATGGAGGTTCCAGCCCTCTATGATTCAAAATTCATTCGAATTGTTGTTGTCCTTCAAACAAACAGGAACCGTGGAGGAATTTATAGAAGAATTTGAGAAATATGTGGGGGCGTTGAGGGATATAGATCAAGAATTTGTCAAAGGCATTTTCATGAATGGACTCAAGAAAGAAATACAAGTAGAGTTGAGACTCTATGAACTCAACACACTTTCAGAGGTAATTCAAAAATTGTTGATGATTGAACCGAAGAATGTTGTTTTGAATAAGAAGAATAATTCACAAAATTTTAGAGCATATGACAATTATAGAAGTGGTCCTTATAATAGAACTGTGATGCTGGAATCTAAGAATATGATTGAAAAGAAGATAGAACCTGTGAGTTTGGAGGTAACGATTCCACAAATAAATTCAGGACAGTCAAGGGAGGGACCAAGAAGCAGAGGAGGGGAGTTTAAACATCTCACCGGAGTTCAAATGAGGGAGAAAAGAAAAAAGGGGTTATGTTTCAGATGTGATGAGCCTTTTAGCTGGGAGCATAGGTGCAAAAATAAACAATTGAGGATGATTATTTTAGAAGAGGATGAGGAAGAGGAAAGCTTAGATGAGAATCAAACAGTGATGGGGAATTTCAATGCATTACAATTATCTTTGTGTTCAATGACTGGATTCACTACAACCAAATCTTGGAAGGTGGGAGGGCAAATTGGAGATAAGTCTATTGCCATCCTGATTGATTGTGGAGCTTCCCACAATTTTATTGCAAGGGAATTGGTGGAGCAGCTTGAGTTGAGAGTGGAAGACACATCGTCATACATAGTGAAGGTGGGAGATGGACATAAAATTAAATGCAAGAGAAAATGTACTAAGTTAATGATGATGATACAACAGATCAAAATAGTCCAAGACTTCTATCTTTTTGGACTAAAAGGAATTGATGTGGTGTTGGGGTTAGAATGGTTGTCCAATCTGGGAGAAGTTAAGGCAGATTTTGACAAACTTGAACTGACTTTAAGGCAAGGGGGAGAGTTACTCAAGGTGATAGGGGATCCTACTATGACCAAGACTGAATTGTCCTTTGAGGGATTCATGCAAGTGCTCCAATCAGAGGGAGAAGGTCTGTTGTTGCAATGTGGGACAACAACTAATTTGGAAAAGATTGAGCACAAAATTCCAGCCGTTGTGCAGAAGTTGTTGCAAGGTTTCCAAGATGTCTTCCAAGATCCACAGGGTCTACCTCCTAGTAGAAGACACGATCATGCAATTCATTTGAAGGAGGGATTTGAAATTCCAAATTTAAGGCCTTATAAGTATCCTCACTATCAGAAAACTGAGATTGAAAGACTAGTGATGAAAATGTTGATTGCGGGAGTTATAAGACATAGTATCAGTCCTTATTCTAGCCCTATCATATTAGTCAAAAAGAAGGACGAAGGGTGGAGATTTTGTGTGGACTATAAAGCTTTAAACAAAATTACTATTCCCAATATATTCCCTATTCCGATCATAGAAGAGTTATTGGATGAGATTGGAGGGGCTTCTATTTTTACCAAACTTGATCTCAAATCTGGCTACCATAAAATAAGAATGAAGGAGACGGATATACCAAAGACAACATTTAGAACTCATGAGGGACACTAGGAGTTTGTTGTCATGCCATTTGGTTTAACCAATGCGCCCTCAACATTTCAAGCATTGATGAATGAGGTTCTTAGACCTTATTTGAGAAAGTTTGTTTTGGTATTTTTTGATGATATTTTGGTATATAGCTAAGATGAGCAATCTCACATAGACCATTTGCAAAAAGTAGTGCGAGCTTTAAGGGATAATTTTCTAAAAGCTAATTTGAAGAAGTGTACTTTTGGACAGAAAAGCTTGGAGTATTTGGGGCATGTTATTTCAGAGAAGGGAAGGGTGTGGCTGCTAATGAGGCCAAGGTAGCTGTTATGAGAAATTGGCCTATACCAAAGGATGTTAAAAGCTTAAGAGGATTCCTTGGAGTCACGGGATATTATAGAAGGTTTGTCTAAGGGTATGGCAAAATAGTCAAACCACTTATTGATTTGCTTAAGAAAGACAGGTTTTATTGGTGTGAGGAGGCTACTGCAACATTTCAACAACTGAAAAATGCTATGGTTGCTTTGCCACTTTTAGTTGTTCCAGATTTTTCCAAGGTGTTTGTCATAGAAACAGATGCATCTAGTAAGGGTATTAGAGTTGTTTTAATGCAAGAAGCGAAACCTTTAGCTTTTTGGAGTGGAGGCCTTTCTATTAAAGCTCAGCAGAAATCAGTCTATGAGAGGGAATTTATGGCGTTGGTTCAGGAAGTTCAAAAATGGAAGCATTATCTAATGGGCCATCATTTTATAATTAGGACTGATCAACAAAGTTTGAAATTTTTGAATGATCAGAGATTTTTCAGTGAGGAGCAGTTTAAATGGGTAGTCAAGTTAATAGGGTTTGATTTTGAAATTCAATTCAAACTTGGCAAGGAAAACACAGTGGTTGATGCTCTTTCTAGGAGAGAGATGTATTCTACACTATCAGTGGTTAATATGGCAGAAGTTGAGGAGTGGTTAGAGGAGGTTCAATCAGATCCTAAGTGGCATCAGATCATTTAGGATTTGCTCCTAAATCCAGAGGCTCATTCAGGTTATACTTATAAGAATGGTAAGCTGTTGTATCAGGGTAGATTGGTGTTGTCCAAAGATTCTAATCGTATCCCTATCATTATGGCTGAATGTCATGATGGCCCTATGGGAGGTCACTCTGGTTTCTTTAGAACCTACAAAAGGGTGTCCAGCTTTTTCTATTGGGAGAGTATGAATGGATATATTAAAAAGTACGTTGAAGCCTGTGAAGTTTGCCAAAGAGCGAAATATTCAACCTTGAGTCCTGGAGGTTTACTGTAGCCTCTCCTTGTTCCTACACAAGTTTGGAAAGATATCTCTATGGATTTTATAGGAGGTTTACCAAGATCAAAATGGAAAGACAACATTTTGGTAGTTGTGGACAGGCTGACCAAATTTGCCCATTTTTTCCCTCTAGGACACCCCTATACAACCAAGGAAATAACAACTGTTTTCCTAAAAGAAATAGTCAGGCTTCACGGTTTTCCATCATCAATAGTATCTGATAGAGATCAAATTTTTCTCAGCCAATTTTGGCAGGAATTGTTCAGGTTGGCGGACACTAAACTTAAACTTAGCATGACTTATCACCCTCTAACAGACGGTCAAACTGAGGTAGTCAACCGTAGTCTAGAAACTTATTTGAGATGCTTTATAGGACCAAAACCTAACTCTTGGGTTGATTGGTTACTATGGGCTAAGTTTTGGTTTAACACTAACTACAATAGTTCAGCTGGTACAACTCCTTTTAAGGCTCTATACGACAGAGACCCTCCTATGTTGATTAAGGGCTGCACTTTTACTTCTAAAGTAGAAGAAGTCAATCAATTGTTGTTTCAGAGAGATGCGGTGTTATCAAAATTGCAACAAAATTTATTGAGAGCACAAGATTTAATAAAATCTCAAGCTAATAAGCACAGGAGAGTAATGCATTTTGAGGTAGGGAATTGGGTTTATTTGAAACTACATCCATATAAACTGAAGTCTTTGGCTAGTTGACCTTTTGCTAAGCTATCAGCTAAATTCTATGGTCCTTATCAAGTACTTGAAAAGATTGGAGAGGTGGTTTACAGTGGCGGATCTTGACCATTGATCTTGGAGAAGCCAAATAATATATTATTAATAAATAATAAATAAATATAAAATAAAGTAAGAAGATGAAAGGGTGAAAGGATAAAATTGTAAATATATACTTAAATATATTAAATAATCATTAAGTTTGAGGGGGACAAAATCATAAATTATATGAGAGTTACAAAACTGAGGAGAGGCTGGGAGGATAAAATTGTAAATATACAAGTAAATATATTAAATGTTCATTAAATTTGGGGGACCAAAATCATAAATTACATGAGAGCTACCAAATTTTGGGGGGGCCACTGCCCCCTCAACTCCCAAGAAGATCCGCCAATGGTGGCTTATAAGTTAGCTTTACCCAATTGGAGAGGTGGCTTATAAGTTAGCTTTACCGGAGCATACTAGGGTGCATCCAGTTTGCATGTATCTTTACTCAAAAAAGCTATTAAAGCCACTCTACAAATCCAACCTTTGCCACCAATGTTGAGTAAGGAGTTAGAATTACAAGTCCAGCCTAAAGAATTACTACAGTGGAGACATAATCAACAAGGGCAGACAGAGGTGTTAGTTCAGTGGGCGAATCTGCCACCTTGTGATATATCTTGGGAGAGTGTATCCCAGTTACAATCCAGTTTTCCACAGTTTCCACTTGAGGACAAGTTAGCTCTCGTAGGGGGGAGTATTGATAGAGTCAGTCAGTTAGTAAGGCTAAGACCTCCAATTAAACACGTGTATTCCAGACGGGCTCCAGGCTGTAAATAGAGACAAAATAACTATGATTGTAGTTAGTTAGGGGAAAGATTTAAATAAGAGGTTATGCTCCTCGGGAGAGGTTTTGTTTTGGGGGAAAAATTTGTTGGAACGGATTGTTGAATCCGTTGGGAAAATTCTTTCTCTCTCTACCTTCAGTTCTGATTGTAATTGGATCTCTTTGTCATCAATAATACAACTTCTCCATCAAGTAATACATTGATTCTTGACAATAATATTAAGTTCCTATACTTCTGGTAAATTCTACTTCCAGTTTTAACATATTAATTTCTCTCCAGTTTTAACATATTTCTGTCTACGTCATACAGGTTTTTTAACCTATATATGAAAATTACTTTTACACGTCAGTTGAATGGGAATATGAGAAATATTAAGCAATCATTGCAGTAAGAAAGTGGAACCAATTTTCTAGTTCTTAATGTGAGCATCATCACTTGGCTTTCTGAGTATAGAAAATAAGGTATTTCTATATTAAATCATGTGATTACAGAACTGAAAGGTGCTAAAAGAAGGTAAACATTGAAGTTTCCTTTGAATATTTCATTAGTATGATTTCACTGGTCATAAGTAATAGCCAAAATGAGTAGTAAAGGTAAGTAAATAGAGATAAAGAGAAGAAATCTCAGACCTCAGATATGATCTTGCTGAGAGTATTGAAAACTTCTTCGTAACTTCCAATGCCAATCATGTAGGAATTCAAGGAATGCTTTGAAGTTTGTGATGCTTCTGATGTTATTTCTAACCCAGAAATATTTACATCATATACGCCATCCAGAACCGCTCCTAATTGTGTAGATAGTTGAAACTCTGTGTCACATTGCACCAAAACACTTCGAAGATTTGAAAGGTTACTAAGCACTGGTGCTGGATCACCCAAAGCGTTATTCTGCGTATCCATGGAGACAATAGATGCTGAAGTGCCACTAAACGAATGAATATGAGATAGGGGATTCATTGTTGGTGACATCCAAGACAAAATGATAGAAGGAAAAACATTACGTGATAATCCTTCAAATCCACATAGGGATATATATCCAACGCTTTTTGATCTCACTATTGAAAAGGGAACTTGTTTCACGGCAGTATTTTTAGCAATTAGACTTGTCAGGGATTCCATCTGCCCTATATCTTCTTCCAATTTTTCTATTTTCGAACAACCAGATAGGATGAGAGTTTTCAAAGATTTCAACTTATATGTTTCTATGGGGAGACTGCTAAGGCTTGTACAGTCCTCCAAATTTATGAGTTGTAGATTGCAGAGATCTCCTATGGATTGGTCTACCTTGCACAAACTTGGACAATCTTTGAGAATGAGCTTTTCAAGACTAGGTAGTTTTGAAAAGTCAGGGGTTTCTATCAAGAACTTGGAATGACTAAGATTGAGGATTTTCAACCACGGAAAAACCTACAAGATGGGAATTTTTTTTTTTTTTAAATGTTAGATAAGAAAATGGAATAGTGGTAACTGGAACAATTATTATTCTAATCAGCATGAGTTTTGAAAGAAATTGTCCTGTAATATATACCTGGGGTTCTTTCCAGACTTGTCTAAGATTACTGTACTTTAAATCGATAGCAATTACGCGTTGCATACAAAAATTGTTTGGGATGTATTTCAAAGGAAATCTTTTCCAATAGATCCATCTCAGCTGCTTGGGAAGATACCCATAATCTTCACTGAGTTTTACATGATCAAGATGCAATAGTCTCAATCCCTGCATTTTCTTAAAAGCAGAAGTATTGAAGCAACCTGTGCTGGTTAACTGTATTTTCAGTGTCAATCCCTCAATAGCTTCTGTCCCCTGTGATGATAAGAGCAAAGAAAAATAACTCAGTAAATCTGTTTAGTTTACTAACCAGAGAGTGATGCATAAAGCTCAGCCTAACAACACAGGCATTGTACAAGAAAAGGAAAACACTTACAGTATTCTTTGTCAACACTTCAACTACATCATCATGAAACCACAATCGACTACGCTTCCCTGGTGTCTTTGTTGAGCTTTCCCGGATTATCTCTCTTCCCATGTCTCGTAGCAAATCATGGATTCCGAGTTTATTGCTCTTTTCAACTTTTATGAGGCTACGTTCTATGAGAACTGCTATTCCAATATCAGCATGTAGTCCACAGCCATTTAGTATCTCCGTAACGTAGCCTCTGTCTTTACCAATAAAGAAACAACATACATCAAGAAATGTATCCTTTGCCATGTCATCGCGTAAGCCGTCAAAACTTATTCTCAATTTCTCTTGAACTTGATCATTGGGAATTAGTTTTAGTTTTGACAATACACTTTCCCACTCTTTCTTCGTCCTCTGACTTAGATAAGATCCGAGGACCTCAAGAGCCAGTGGTAGTCCCCCACAATAAGCAACTACATTTCTTGCAAGTTCACCGAATTCTTCGATTGGTTTTTCTTCTCTAAAAGCATGCCAACTAAAGAGCTCAAGGGACTCATTTTCATCCATTTCCTTCATTTTATAAACATAATCAACTTTAAGTCTGTTAAGAAGGCGTACATCTCTAGTTGTAATGATTATTACACTTCCTCGACCAAACCATTTACGATTCCCACATAGGTCTTGCAATTGGTCAAACTCATTAACATCATCAAGAACAATGCATGCCTTTCTTCCAGAAAGGTTTTTCATCAGCATGTCTCTTCCCATCCCAACGCTTTTTACGTTCACCTTTGTTTTGAGGATGTCTGAGATGAGTTGTTCTTGCAAATGAACATGCCCTCTACGATCTGTTTCACAAAGTTCTCGAATATCTTCAATGAAACATTTATCCCCGAATCTACGGTGAATCTGATTGAAGATGACTTTTGCTGTGGTAGTTTTACCCAATCCTCCCATTCCCCATATCCCTATAATGCAAACTGTGGAGGATTTGTTCGCAATAAATCCAATCACTTCTTGCATACGGGATTCCAATCCAACAGGAAATTCAGTTACAGACATGGATGTATTGTCTAATTTCTTTATAACCACCTCAACAATTTCCTTCACTAATTGAGCCTGGTTCCTTCAAGTTCAGTAAGACATTATTAATCATAAAACAAGTAGAAAGGTATTATACTATAATTTTGAATTTCGTTTATAGTTGGATGTTGTGAAGAGATTTTTGAAATGTTTTACAACTCTCTTCTAATTCCTAATTATATATAATATAATGATATATTATATTATCCATATTAGACAAGGGACATAATACAAATTATTCATAAGAGATTGTAACACATGTGTTACACTTAATTGATAGTAAATATTGAAATTGATAAAATAATAAAAGGGACTAAAAAAATTACTTATTAAAAGAAAAACTTATTGAATACTCATAAACAAAAATCTATTATGTATTAGGGCTTAAATAATCTTTTAGACCTTCTTTTTTTAAAATATTTGACAAATAAGAAAAGTTTAATTATTCATTTCACTATCTATAGTTACGTAAACTTTACATTTTATAGTTCAATTTATTAAAAAGTAAATTTATCTAACCAAGTTTACATTTTTTTTCTCTATATCATTATCATTAAAATATTAAAAACAAATAAAATAAGACAAAACAAGTAGAACCATCAAAATTAACAGTCCAACCTAATCCATCTTATTATAAGCTAAGTAAAAAAATTTGATAATTTATTCTGATTTATATTTTTAAATAAATCATAATTTTTTACTTAATTTAATCTTATTATAGATCAACGGGTTAATGAATCAATTTTTATTTAATTAAAAATTAAAAAATTATGAACATGTCTATGTAAGAGTAATTAATTAAAAACCGTTTAAACAAAAATTAAAAATATATTTTAAAATTTTAAATTATATTAATAAAATTATTTTTTTATTTTAATTATAATAATTTAATATATTAATAATAAGAGAAGAGATATATCTATTTCAAAATAAAAATTAAAAAATTATTTTTTATTATAATTTAATTTTTTAGTAATTTATTAATCTAAAATAATAAGTCATCAGTAAAATTAATATATATTAAAACTTTCTCTTATATTTATTAATAAAATTGATAAATTTTTTATCAAATTAATTTATAGTATATATATATATAATAAAAAAAATTATTTAAAAAAATATTATTATTATATAAAATACATCAACTCATAAATTTACAAATTAGTATAATTAAATTCATTAAATCATTATTTAAGTGAAATGTAACAAAATAAATTTAATTTAATTTACAACATAATTTTTTATTTTTTATTTTGTAATTTGACCTAATTTTCAAAACAAATTTTAGTTCGGTTCTACGAATTAAACTTGTTTGAAAGAAAAGAAAAAACTATTGCACAAACTCCTTAATTATTGATTACCTGTTATCGGTGACATCCCAACCAGAAAAATTTGTAGCTGCGGTGAGTACGTTTTTCCACCTCAACATCACAGATTTTCCCCACAATCTTTGTCGTGCAAATGCTTTCAAAGTGTTTCCAAAATCACCAGTTTGATGACGAACTTGGGATGGCGTAACAAGGTAAAATATGGGCAAAACTATATGGCCATAAGTTTGGTGACATTCAATGATATTTTCCAACTCTTCAAGACACCAAGAAGATTCAGTGTAGTTTCTGGAGAAGACAACTAGACATATGCGAGACCTTTCAATCGTTCGTAACAGTCCCTGTTTTAGCTCAACTCCCTTCGGAAAGTTTGCTTCGTCAAGGAAGGTGTTGACTCCAGCATTTGAGAGGGCAGCATGGAGATGAGAAACGAAATTCATACGGGTGTCTTCTCCCCTGAAATTGATGAACACGTCGTGCATCCTTTCGGGATCTGGCGATGAAGAGTGCATCCATTCGGGATCTGGCGATGAAGAAAATGACTCGAATTCCATTGAAGGAGATGAAGTCAACGATTAGATGAGAAAGCAATGCAAAGTCTGGAGTGATGAGATCTACGAAATTATTGGTTTGACAGAACGAAGATAGGAAGCAAAGAAAATATGATGATGATTACTTTTCAAATGCGAGTGTCTTTTTTTTTTTTTAATTTAAATTTTAGACTTATAAGGTTGAGATTATAATTCAACGTTTAATTTTTTACTAATCAGACCGATTTGTTGCGAGACGCTGTCAATTTAATTATTAAAATAATAAATATTTATTTTAATATTTAAATGTATAAAAACTACACTAAGTATTTTACATTCTTAATTTTTTGTGAGATTATTTTGTAATTAAATTTATTTTTTAAAGACAAATTTGACTACATTTAAATATCATAACTATTTTGATATTAAACTATAATATTAAAAATTAATCTGAACTTGACATACTCTCAAACTAAATTAGTGTTTTTACCTTTTCAATGATTAAATTAGGTGTGACTTATATATTTATGACCAAATATTATCATATAATTTTTAATTTTATATACACTAATTTGTTATATTTTGATTTATCGTACCAATAATTAAAGGAAGAATCATCTAATGTCTAAAAACACATGAGAGATAATGTCCAAAATAAAATTAATAAAGATATTGTAGAATCACAAATACATTTAGTAAATTTTGGCTCGATCTATTTAGGTCAAGCCTAAATAAGCTTAGGTTAGGCTAGTTCATAAATTTATGGACTGATTCATTTTATAAAATAATAATTATTTTATTAATAAATAAAAATAATATTATTTCATTAAAAAATATATGTATAACAAATAATATATATATATATATATATATATATAATTTAAAAATAATAATAAACTCTAAACATAATTTTCATTTTCATTTGTTTGGTCATCTTCTTCCTCTCTTGTTGTCAGTCACATCTCGCTTTTAAGGACCAGTCATTTAAGACGACATATTCTTAAATATAATGTATTTTCAAATTATCATGATATGGGAGTAATATTGGATAATAAGACTAGCTTGTTGAAGTAATAAAAATTTGACTTTAAAATTTATCGAGATATACTTACTAGATGTAATTAAGCATGAACTTCAATTTAACTATATTGATTATAAAGAAGTTTGGGAGATAAACAAAGTTTTGAATCTTGATTTTAAACAAATTACTAAAAATACGATCAATTATATAGTTTTATAATGTGTATTTAACAAAAAAGAAAAAGTTAAAATATGTATTACCTAATATTCCTGGTAGGATATTTTAAGTCAATTACTAGAAACATTTTAATTACAAAGATAGGTTTATAACGTAAAGAAAGAGGTGTTATCCGATATTCCTGGTAGGATATATTTGATTTCTTATGTAGTTATTTTTATGATTTTATACATTTTATTTTGCCCTAATATGTTATGAGTTAATTTTAAATAAATAAATGATATTCTTTTTCAAACAAAATAAAAATAATTATATAAAAAAAATATTTTTATTTAGGCTAAAAATAGTCCGTTAGTTCATTGGCCTAATATAGGGTCAAACTAGGTAAAAAAAAATTTAGTCTATTTTAATATATAAGTCATAAACCATTAGATTTTTTCTACTTGACCCAGGCTAGGTCAAGTTGAACAGACTCTAGCTATGACCTATATTACCACCTCTCCACCTTTACTTTGACATAATACAAAACCATTCAATAATAAAATATAAATTTACATTTAATGTTATCGTAACATTAAGGTTAAATTCACTCATTCTAAAGATACTACATAATTAATAAGAGAATAGAGCTATTTGGATGAAGAGCATGGATCTGTGGTAGCATGCCGGAGCAAAGATAAGTACAATACTTCACGGCAGGGGTGGCTCAAGGATTTGGGAGACCTGAAGCAAATTTAAGAATGAAGCATTTTATTTAATAATAAAATAATTTATATTAAAATGTATCATAGTTTTATTTAAAAATTATTTTTTGAGCTTTTTGTGATGCAAAATTATCTATTAAATTGTCATAATTATTTTATTTAACATTTCTTTTTCAATAGATAATAAAGTTAATTCATTTAATCTTTGTTGAGACATAGTTGATCTTAAATAATTTTTTATTATTTTTAATTTTGAAAAATTTCTTTCAACTCGAAGTAACTGATACTAGAATTGTTAACATTATTCTTTAAGCTATATATGCATTTGGAAAAGAATTTATTATTTTTATATAATTAAGAATGTCAATTGGTTTATCATTTCCAATCCTATAATTTCCTATAAGTAAGATATTTAATTCTGAAAATAAATCTAATCCATTAAGTTATTTTTACCAAGAATTTTAATAACTGCAATAATTCTTAGCAATACCTTTCTCCAGTGTTCTTAATCTCTATTTATTTTATCTTGAACATATTTGTCTGTTGTTTTATTTTTTTGTCAATCTCATTTCTAAATCAATCCATGTATTCATGTTAGTAATATGCTCATTCATTATTTCATAACTCTTTAGTTTGACACTAAGATTTCTCCAATCCTAACTACCTCCATTAACTAGTTTACTTGTACAAGAAACAACATTAAATAATTTACAACAAAAACAAAAGACTTTATCTCTAGAATAAATTAATCATCTTCTTTCGTGTTTCTCTCCATTAGATGATATTTGAATATAATTTGATGAAGAAAAGTTCCTAGAATATTTATCCTTTGAAAAATCTATATCAGTGATTTTAATAGGGTCCTTTTCTACTAATAAATCTCTCAAATTTGTATCAATATTCTTCAATTAGTTTGAATCATATATATTTTCATCAATAGTAGAATTATCATCTAGTCTCTCAATCTCCTCCTCCCTGTCATGGGTTTGAGGATCAGAATTATTCTCATTACTAACTACTCTCTCTATTGTTTCTTTCACCTATGTCTATAATGTTATTATCTTGTTCATTCAAAGAACACCCACCTGTATTTTCTAATTCATTTTTCTTATCCATTTTTATAAATTTATCCATAGCTCCTTTTTGTGATGAAATTAAAATCTCGACTCTTCTCTTCTTTTGGAGTTTTGAATAACCTGATTCATATTTTCTAGTTGACATATCTATATATTTTTATATGAAATAAAAAATTATAATATATAAAACACTACTAAAGATAAGTATATAAAAAAGAATGAGTCGAAACAATAAAACCTGGTTTTGGATATAAGTTGTCAAGAAAATAAACGGTAAACGAAACTGTAAAGGCGCAAACGATGAACGGTAAATTGAAAGAGACACTATCAGAGTATCCTAATGTACAACAAGTTTTAAATTTTATATGTTTATCTGATATGACGCACTGTCGCACTGCAAAAAAGAAATGTCAAGTAGTTTTTGCTTGATTTGTGTTGCCTCCTTCTACCCCTTGAAATCAATAAAATCGAAACACACAAAAACAGAACGCCAACAACCAACACAAGTACACAACATATAAAAGATGACTCAGATGAGAAATTGAAAATATTGAGTCATTAACTAATGTGTTATGTGTATGTATCAAACACTCAAACTGAATAGTCTAAAAAGTAAAGATAATGAATAAATGAGAACTAAAAAACACATAAAGAGAGGAGCGAAGATAAAAATTAAAATTAATTAGTAAAAAAATAAAGATAAAAAAGAAAAATTTTTGTACTTCTTTAACTATTAATATTAACTAACCATTTTTTCTTCTAAAAAAAACTGTTAGAAATAATATTAATATTAAAAATAAAATTGAAAGGTTTTTTTTTTTTTTAAGGACCTAAAACAAGGGTTTTAGTGGGCCCTAATCCACGGAGTACCAGGAACCACTACACACCAATGCAGATAGGTCAGTTTTACGTATATGTTAATTTAAGGTTTAACCTAAATGTTAGAGACATATTATGTTGATCAATCTAATTAACATTAATTTACGTTAAATTATAGAAAAATTAATGTAAATTTTATGTGAAACTGGTATAAATTTATGTGAAACATATAAAGAATTAGACGTAAATGGATTTGATAAAATCTAAAAAAATTTATTTAACAATTTTATTATATTTATTTATTTTCCTGAGATAATAAGTTAATGGTACAATTTTAATTTTCAAAGGTGGAATATCTTGTTACTGCGTATTATAAAATTTTATTATAATTTTTTTTCATACGTTAAAATAGCGAGCTTAGATCAGTCATATTACCTAATAACTAGTTATTATATTATTATTCACTTCAAATACTGATGTGTGATAGAAAAGTTAAACGATTATTTAAAAATAGGATGACTTGGAGCAGTGGTCTAAAAATTTAAAGTATCATTAGAAAACAATAAAAAAAATTATTAAATATTGTCCTTAGAATTATGTAAAAGTTCTACCCTCCAACCAGCATATTTCTCCATCCAGCTAGTCTATTGTGATTGAAAGAGAAAGGGACAAGAAATTATTTAAATTTATATTATTCTCTTTCTTTAAATATATTGTTATATAGCTTTAAAAGATTGTCTTAAATTAATATTAATATATAATTCTGTAGAGTGGTGCATGAGGCTCAGGTGTTGTGGCGGCGTCTACGACACCAATTGAAATTATATATCCTTTATACTTTACACGTTGATAAATAAATATTTAAAATATTGATGGTGTTTATTTATTGGGAGTAGTTTTAAGAGGAAGAGTAATGTATTAAACATATTTAAATAAATTTAACATTTTAAAATATATAGAGTTTTTTACTCTTATTAACAAAGTTACAAATATATAAAAAAATATATTGAGGTTATAAATTAAAGGATAATAACAAAATAAAATCGAGGTCGAAGTAGAAAAATAGAAAATGGAGATGAATGATACTTGAAAATTGATAATAGAAATAATGGAAGAATCATAAGAAAGTATATAACTTAAGAGAATAAGGGATAAAAAATATAAATCAAAAGGACAATAAGATTAATGTTGGTGATTAAGAGAGTCTTGAAGAAAAAGATGATCAAG